GTGTGTGTGTGTGTGTGTGTGTGTGTGTGTGTGTGTGTGTGTGTAACAGAGAGGGAGAGAGAATTTCACACACCAAAACATACATGACAGGTGGAAATAAGGGAAATTACATTCACATCAGTGGTCAAAGAGTCACAACTGGCTAATTCAATCAGCTGGAGTCTCTGCGCTGACAATACGCTAAACTCTGATGTGAGACAAAACCCGAGTCCATATAATTGAACTGCTATGCGCTGTTGAACACTTGAGAACAACACTGACAGAAGTCCTTGGAAGTATATGAATTCACAGACATGGATTTCTTTTTCCTGTTAATGGGCTTTAAAGGGCACGTTAGCAGATTTTATTTATTTTTTTGTATTCGGCCTCTGATGTTGTGCATTGCATACATCTCATCTATTCTTTACGTAGATTTATAAGAACACCTCTGACTTGCAAACTGAAGAATTTGAACAAGATGGCAATTACCAGAGCAAAGAGGTTATAAAGAAAATATACTAATGAGTTACATTGTGCAAAGTGAAACTCCTGGAGTTTTGGAGCTTGACTTACCAGAGGGAAGAAGAAATGTGTTAGAAGACAAAAACTTTAATCAATATATTATTTAGCAGCTAAAAACAAGATAAATGTTTACCTTTGAGGGTGTAAATTGTAAGTGGTGCATTGACTGGAATTTATATGACACATTTTACTCTTACAGGGCTCTCAACACACTTTTAATTGAATGCAATTTGTAGGCATCATGTTTTGTCCATTCTGGTTACACTGTATATCTAAGAACAAGATAAATACACTGGAATAAATCAGTATAACAGCTAAACATTATCACTTTAAAGAGGCAATTTATTTATAGTTCCATATTTTTATTCATGGTTTCTACTAGAGTGCCTTTGGTACATGCATTTATAGTTCAAATAATCCTTATTTATCCTGTGTTGAGCCTTGGTGTAGCCCTTAGTTTGTTCAGCCTGAAACAAGCTGTGGTAGCACTCTTTGAGCCAACTTCTGTGCTCACCACCAGAGCTGTGTGTCTGATATTGTGACTGTACTAAGGATATCCACTCTCACATACATTAAGCTATCATACAGATGCAAGAATATTTTATAAAACATTTGTAAAACTGTGCTTTTAAAGGAGGTTCAGCCAACTTCTGTTCAAATGTTCTGTTTGCAGTGCAGAGCCAATCAGAAGACAAGCCAGAGAGGCTAGGAAGCTAAAACATCTTGTTTCAGACTGAAGACAACCTGTGAGTGTTACACAAAGACCCAGAATACGATAAAGGATGAATATTTTCAAATATGAGCAGATATAGATGAAAAAAAGTGCTTGAGTAAATGAGAAATGCTATATAAAGAACTTTTGAGTTCTCAGGTGTAGAAAAGCACTATAAAAGAGCCAGTCCAAGATTTATTTATTAGTTCAAAGTCATCTACTGATTTTTTTTTTTACTGCAGAATTAGGTGAACAAAACTTTTACAAAGAAAATTTCTATGTTTTAAAGCATTTATAAAGTAAGCGTGCTATTTGTTGATTAGGCATTTCAAAGTTAACCTAAAGTGGAACTTGAAAGAGGTTTAAAAAGACAAACTAAGCAAAAGATTTCTCTCTGCATTCACGTTAAACTCGATGGCTAAACATCAACACCGTTTCACATTTTGTATTCTTGCCAGCCCTGTGACCTGAAGGTAAAGCAGTGAATTCAAAATGTACATCTTTTCACATGACTGCAGATGTTCAGCATTCAGAGGACATGCTGCCTCATTGCCATGGCTGCCGTCTAACACCTGCAGCAGCATCAGACGCAGCTTCAAAAGAAAAGGGGGGAAAAAACACCGAAAGCAAAGGCAGAGTGTTTGAAAGGAGCTTAACATCCTCAGCAAAAGAAGTTTTCACTCTTGTAGGCTGCATTGTGGGATTGGACACAAGCAAAAGGCACGGACAAAGCTGTTGGGATAATCTGACCAATAGCAACAAAATTCAAGCTGAGAGTTATGGATAAGGAACTTCACATGTTAACAGTCAAACAAAGAAGACCTAACTGACTTTGACCTTAAAAGAAGAGTCAAACTCAACTTAAGCCTTTTAGTGGAAAATCAGGTTAAAACCTTTCTACCGGAGTTCTTTCCAATTCAATCCAGCGTGTCGCGAGGGATCACAAGAAATAACAAAAGTTTCTGAAGGGAAAATGAAAGACGTGACACAAGGGAGCAATGCGTGGTGGCAGCAGCGTGGGTGTCTGTGCAAGCGTGTGTGTGTGTTGGGGAGATTAAAGATATGACATGGGGAAATGATGCCAAGTTCCACCTCTTCGTCTTCTTTTCCAAAGTTGTCCCCATGGGCCCTGGTAAGTTTAAAAATAGAGCTTGTCTAATGGAGAAGAGGGCCGAAGGGAAAGGAGAAAAAGCACGAAAGAGCGTGCAGAGTCCTCTGTGGTAGGAGAATGCAATTTGAGATTGGCCAGATTACTTTTCTCTCCCCCCCCCTTTCTTCTCCCCTTCGGCCACTCATGAGGCGTGATATGCACCGGTGGGGTCCCTAAGCCACCATAAGCCTGACGCCAGTACCTACACCGCCGCCAAAGAGTCGTCGCACTCTCAGAGCGAGAAAATCAGCGAGATGAAATAAAAGAGGGACTCCGAAGAGATCAGCGGGGATTTGAGAGAGATAGATGAGAGTCAGGCAAGGGACTCGAAAGGGGTGGAGGAAGGGGGTAAGAGTGAATGGATGAAGGAGATAGCTTCGCTGGGATTATGACGGGATATGGCAGAATGTAAATGCACTTGTCTGCTTTCTCATGGTCACATTGTGAGAGGTTGGAAAGAGCCTGCTGGCTTTTAGACAACAAGTAAGAGAAGAAATGGCAGCAACGAATCAGTCATCACATGTTTTCCTCTGTTTCTCTCTGTTTCTTGCAGGAGGAGAGGGCTCAGCGGAGACTGGGCTGAAGGAGACGTCCACCTGTGACATTTGCCAGTTTGGGGCAGAGTGCGATGTGGACGCAGAAGATGTATGGTTAGTGTTCCCAACCGAAACGCTTGCATCTACCGTTTTTAAAGCCAGTGAGCTCATGTCGGTCCACAGTCCACAAGAATCAGTACTCCTTCTAGAGAAGTGGTCACAACTTAATCAAACTTGCACTCAGTGATCACCTAATGGCTCTTCACCTAAGCCATGGTCAAGGTCACAGTTTGTGCAGTACAGCCAACCACAAGAAAACCTCAGTCATTACAGGTTCACTGGTGATGATGAGTCAGATGAGGTACATCACTGATGTTGTCAAAGCCTTGTCACACAAATCATGTTATTTTCATCATACATTTACCCCTTATGTTTGTTATTTGAGACATTTTGGCAAGTCTGAACACAAAGAACTCAAATAAGAGCCCTCTTTTATCCTGCAGACGCTCAGTTCTGAACACCCACTGAGGTTTAGTGCATGGCTGACCATTTCATTTAACCTCAATTACTAGAGCAGGGCAGGGAGAGAAAGGAGATTTTCGCTTATTCTGGAAATCCAATTACTATCCTTACAGGACTTGGCAATGTCAGGCCAAAAATGACTTTGACTTACACAAGAAAAACTAGTTCAGTGATGAAATAACGTTTGTCATAGATTTAACCATTTACTGCAGATGAGATGGATGCAGGTAATGTGTTTTTTGGCTCGCCCACATGCATTAGCAAGTAGGCAGCACTAAAAACATCCTCAGGGGTACATAAAAACACGCGTGTTCAGAAGCCAATTAGAAGAAGGCTCAACTATTCCAGCGAAAGCATCAGTGCTTTGTGCAGCATGAATGAGGCTTAAATGAACCGACGGTACAGATTTGGTGTGGAACACCGTCAGCTGGTATCAGCAAAAAGGAAGGTAGCGCTTCTAAGAAATCCCAGATGTACCGCTAGAAATTAGAAGTGCCCTGAGAGTATGACTCTATCAAACTGCTTGATGTAATGGAAAGATAATGTACCCGGGTGTGCAATAACCGTAATGCCAAGGAACGGCTTCATGATGCATTCTGAGCCCTGTTGCAAATACTGAACAGCTGGAGTCCACTCCTCCTGATGCCTCCCACTTCCACAAATGCACCTTAATATTCTGCTAAAGCACATAAATTGATTTATTGGCAATTTCTTAATATCCAAAGGGAGAATCCATAAGGTCACAACAGCAAAGTGCTGTCAATGGTTTTGTGCACAGAAAACCAAAAACATTAAAGCAAGAGGAGCCTTGAGCATATTTAGCACAAGCTGAAATAAAGACAATTATACTCTACATAATGCAGGAGGGAGGAGACAATGGGCGAGAGAGGTAGCGAAAGTCAATAATGCATCTCGTTAAAAAAGCAGTTGACATAAACAGACGTATGAATATTTCAGTGTCCTTTCTTGTAAAAACAGGAACAGCAAGTACCCTTTAATCTTTCAAAAGCCCCAAAGGTGTTTTGATAAGAATGTTTCTGGCGAATAATCAGAAAGGTAATTGCAAACCAACAGCAGGTAATTTTCATCAAACAGCACCCAACAACTGGCATAATATAAGATCATTTTGATTAAAATGACAGGTTATTCCAATCAGGAGGCAGCTGAGTTTAATCAAACAAACCGTCAGCTGATGAAACAATGAGTGGAGAGAGAAGAAAGTAATCAAATACCAGGTGAGGATAAAGTGATGTGACGTGAAACATTTTTCCTATTTTCGCACAAGAAATGCAGATATGAATAATAAAGGAATAATTTTCCTCTGCAAATTGTTTGCTGCCATGTAAAGCACTGCAACGCTCAGATATATGGGACCTGACGTGGGCTGATAATCAGAATGAAGTGGCGTCTCGTTGTCACTTAATTATTCAGTTTCGTGTTTATTTCTTGTTAATTAGCGTTAATTAGCTAATTAGCTAATTAGCGAGGTTAAGTGGTGTTGGTTGGTAAGAAGATTTTGCCATATTTGGACAGGCCTATGTTAACTGTTTCCTCCTGCTTTCAGTTTTAATCAAATGACAAACTCCTGGCCTAAAAAACAAAGCCCAGGAGAAGTTTCTAAAACTGCACCTCCTTTGATATCCACCTGAAGCTGGCTTCAGAAGCTCAACAATCCACATACACTCCCATGTTAAAAGAATTTATGGAAGAGATGAACACATTTATGAACTATGGTGCATCACACTCACTGTGTGAAGGCTTAGAGTTATGTATTATTGACGTTGATTGATTGATGTTTGAACGCCTCTAGCTGTCTACTACATTTAACCATCGCTAAGGCATTTGCTGATGCTTTTCAGTGCAGTTATCTCACAAGTCATTCGGCCCTCTATGAGAGAGAGACCAGCCAATAAATACTCCACTGTGCTGGGATTCGTTTCAGTTAGTAAAATTCTAATATTACTTTATTTATGCATTAGCACTAGTTTGTGGCTCCACAGTGTAGTGGTTAACACATTTTGCCTTAAATGTGAGTGATCCTCAGTTCAAGACCAGGATGTGACACAAACCCTGTCCCAGTCCTGGAAAACTATTCAAATCCATCCACTGTAGCAACCCTTTGGGAAAAGAGAACAGTTGAAAGTACCTTTATACATCAGCACTGATCATTCACTACTTGTTTTGTAGAAAAATTAAGCTCATTGGCAAAATGAAAAAAATACTTTCAGCCACTTTCTCTGCTTTTTTTTTTTTTCATTTCTTTCATGCAAGTTGAATATAACAAAGACATTTTTGTGTTATATGCATATTCCATATCGTTATAGCATATCGGCATATTTTCCCAAACTAATGAAAACAAATGCCTAGTGCCGCTTCATATTGAGATGTTTCTCTCCTTTTCCTCGATGCATTACAGTCTATGCTTGAACATCAGTACTTTTCGGAAAGCACTGAGGAAGTGCACTACACGAGTACAATCTCATAGCGCACTAACAAATGGTGATTGCAGTTACAACCATTTTCTATGCAATATAACAGTGTTTTCTGTTACAAATGATCACTAGTCCACAAACAAAGAATATTATGGTGGCTATGTCCATTTTATGTATTCTTAGGTCTGAAGTTTTCTTACATATTTAAGCTAACTAGCTGCTGTTATTGCTTCATGATTATCAGCCAGAAGAGCAGTATCAATATTGTCACCTTACTGTAATTTGAATTTTAATCAGTGGATATTACTGTATTGCAGTTTTATATATTATTATATTGCTCCTTTAGCTGTCCTGTGGTCAGATAAAGTAATTACAAAGTTGCATTTTTGCTATAAGTTAGCTCGCCAACATCGCTGCAAGACTTTCAGTCAATCACATCCCAACATTGGTGATTAGTTTGGTGCCAGAAACCAAATTTGTCATTTGTTGTTATGCAACGAAGCACTCTGTGTACCGTCATTGGTTTACACAATGGTAAACCTGATGAGAAAGTGAAAAATTATTTCATTGTGTTATTGTGGATATTGGTCCTGCTACACTATAACACGCTGCAGTTGTTAGAACAAGCAATTGTCCCAATCAACCCGGATGCACAAGGTCTCAACTTGGCAGTATTCCAAACAGCCCATCAGTGCTTGTTTTGTACCAATTTTCCTGTCACAGATTTTTTTGGCTTCGGTACAGGTACACAACTTCCACATTTGTAATTTCTCGTAAAAAGCTGTGATTGGCTCAGTTGCTTTTCTAACTGCGGTTGCAGCCATTACTGAGTCACAAAACTAAATTTATGTGAAACCCTGATGGAAAAGGGTCTGAAATGTGTGCAGCAATTTAGAGGTCCGGATAAAGGCTATGGTTAAAACTATTCTAGAAGCTGTTTTGAAATAAATTGCTGATGGTGATGACGTGATTTTGCACTTTTTATTTTTTGCTTTGTTTAAAATGAATTTATCAGTTTGCTATTTGCATCTTTAATTTTTGTTGTTTTAAAACCTGATTATTATTTTTATACATCCTGACAGTATAATAGAATGCATGCCAGCATGTTATAAGCTGTTTAGCTTTTGCTTGGTCAGGATAACATAAAAACTATTTCAGCATTTTTTTTCCCTCTTCAACAAAGTTCAGATAATTCCAGTTGTCATCATTTATGATTCATCATCAAATACTCGGTTAAAAATACCCTTGACCAAGGCATTTGCTTGCAACTCTCTATTGTTGCCGCATAGGAGCTGCCCACTGGTCTTAGTTTTTGCGATGGGTTAAAGAGAGAGAACATTTTTTTCCTGCAGGAATCAATAAAGTCTACCTCAACTCACCATAAATCAGTCTTCATAAATCAATCTTCTTCTCTTTATTGATTCAGATAGGAAAAGGAGAAATGTGCTTCTGTGTAGTTTGCAAGAACCTCTTTTGGGTAAACTTTACTGCACTTGTTCCTGCTGTATCAAAGAGCCTTAGTAGCCTTACTCCACCTCCCTATATTCTGGAGGCAGACAGCAAGCAAAAAAAGACAAATTTGCCCCTGAGGGATCAATACAGTGTCACAAAAAATCCATTTAGATCCATTTGTGGTGTGAAGCTGTAATTACCCAGAAAAATCCATGCTTTCAAACCCATCAGTAGCACCCATCGGTGTTGATAGAATTAAGGAAGAGGAGGAGCAGAGAGTGAACCGGTCATGGCAAGGGACACTTGCTGCACGAACACTGGGGTTAGACCTCCTGAGAGGGTTTTTTAAAAGCCAGCACTCATCTCCTCACTGAAACCATTCTGTGGAGAGCAAACTACCCCTCTTGCATGGAAAACAGAGCTTTGCTTTTTTTTAATCATTCATTTGCTATTTCTATATGTTCATTTCTCTTTGTTTTAGTCGTACTTATCACTCTAGTTGTTTTACATTTCCTTTTAGTACTTTTTAGACCTCTGTAGTGTTTTGTCATGTGACATTCTTATAGTTTTAATAGTGTGTTTCTGGATATTTTGAGGCCTTTTGTAGATATTTTGCATCTCTTTGTAGAAATTTTGAGTGTTTTGTTATTTTATATAAAGTTATTCTAATTTAGTAACTTCACAATAGACTCTTTGGTCTCTGCTTTG